CCCCAAAACCCCAAAACCCCAAAACCCCAAAACCCCTTTACAATAATTGCACATTGATGTTCTAATTATTTATGCCGTAGAACTTTGCTCTGTATATGAATTTAGTATCACAAGAAGCCAGCAAAGATAAATGCTGGGCAATATTCACAAAAGAGAAAACAGCTTGGTATAAAAGAACTAATTCATTCTATTCTCTTTGTTTGTGACATTCTGTAAGTATCTCCTTCTAGGAATCTTCTCCCTAGATTCTCCTCTAAAGACTATAAATTAGCGGTTGGTTATTACATTGTTTTCTTGGAGTTTTGATCAATTTTATAGGCTTTGATTCAGCTCCTTTAATTTTTGACTGCTTAGGCATCATAGTACTTCTTCTTTGAGACTGCTGAACATTATCTACATTTTCCTTCTGAGATAACACTTTTGGCTTAATTTTAACAGCTCCTGGACTTAACTTTCTTCAGGTTGACTCGCTTATACTTTCGAGTTCCTAGATGACATTGTCACTATTCCTCCATGATTTCTATCACTAGATGTGCTTCAAATCTCAACGATTCTACTACTTATCTTAGGAGTATCGACTAGAATTATAGCTCTTTCAAACTTACTGCTTTCTTCAGTCCACGAGTCTGACACAATTGATGATTTCATAGATTCAGGAGCTGAATCAGTATCTCTTTGCTCTAGTAGCGGTGATAAATTTAACTTTTTCATTGGAGGTTCCATCTCAACCCTCAAGATTTCCACTCTTTCTTTTGAAGGATGACAGACATTACTCGAGATTTCAGCTAAAATTAGCAAACAAATGATTACTTATGATACGTTCCTGGCATTCAGAAACTTTTCAGGAGGAAGTGTAGGATTGAAAAGAGCCTTTGCTAAGATTCTCTACAAGCAGATCGCTTTCACCACAATTACTACTGCACACTCATAAGTACCTCTCTGGGTTATTATGAATGTTCACTGATATTGTCTCCTTAATCCTATGATTTGTAAGAAAACTGGTATCAAAGCAAAAAATAGAGAGAATTACTCAGGGCTGATTTGTCTTGATCTCTCATGAGGAGACTTGGAAAGTATCATTTTAATGTCCTTAAATGAAGCTGTAGTATTGATTATTTAAGTTCCTACTCTTGCTACTTGATCTTGAGTAATGTCAATCATAATACTCTTTGTTAATCCAATTATTAACACTCCCTATTTATCAGAGTTAGATCAAGCATTTTGTCAGGAATATTGTGAATTTACCATTTCTTTTAATAAATTTTTGACTCTTTAAGCATTTGCTGTCTTCTGATCTTTCTCGATAAGAGCCTAAAAGAAATAAGTAAAATCCAATGAATGTAATAATGTTAAGAATTACTTCATTCGTGAATATCTGTTAGCTCCCCTGTATACCTATTATACCACCGATAGTAGTAGTATTCATCATCATCCATCTCCATTTCCGTTAGAATTTAATTTCAAAAATATTTATCTGCAATGGGGTTTTGGGGTTTTGGGGTTTTGGGGTTTTGGGG